TTCAAACCACATTATAATGTGGGCCTATAAAAAGTTGGGAGGGGGCTTTATTGTGGTTGCATATTGAAGGTGATTTCTTAATAAAGGTGGTCCTGTGAGCAAGATTCACTTTATCACACCTTTCAAATATCAAAAAAATGGCCTACCTTTCCCCACTCTCTATCTCCTACACCTTTACCAGTTTTTGGTATTAATTTCTTTATAATCCATCTGTAATTAGATATACTTGTGTGTAGTTATTCATCCATATTGTCTGGCCTAATTCAATCTGCCCAAATTACAGCCGTTTTGTGATTTTTCTGAGGTTTACTACTTTCCAGGCCTGTCAATCATGAAGTGAGATGACATTTCATTGGTCATTTATTTAAAGTTGGCATTTGGTTGGTGAGTTCTGCTAGTTCGGTATTCAGGGAATCAACCAGAACTTCAGATTGTGTTCAAGATTTGACAAAAAAAAGAGCAAGTGTAAAAAATGAAATGAATGGAGTTTTACGTCTTACTTTTCTGCACCGTGTGAGCTATTGAAGACGGGCAATGACATGAAGACAGAAGTGTAGACAGAATTCAAAATGGCAGAGAAAGTAGGAGAAAGGTAAATTTTGATGACCTATTCAGTTCCATATCGTCAATTGACACCTAGAATTGGAACAGATGGAACCTGCCCAGAACTCCCTGATAGAGTAAATCATTCATTGAACTGCAGAAAAAATTCATTATGTATCAGATCAATAAGGAGGTTTCATAACAGAATCCCTCTCAGTAACACTTACTTTGAAATGGATGATAATTCTGTTTTTAATTCTTGAACCAATTCATCAGCAGACTTTATAGGTTTATCAGGTTTATCATATAATTTACTCTTTAAAATAGTCTGAAGAATAATTAAGTCCTATTGAGAGTATATCCTTAGTAAAGGAACTAATGAAGATGGGCAACTCTGTGAAGTGTGTGGAATCGGGGAAATTTCTCCAGGACAGTGACTTCAAATTGTCGAGGGATTAATAAATGGTTTTCACAAGTAATGTCAAAAACATCCCTTTGGTAAACAATGATAATATAATGAACTCCTGATTGGTTGAAAGCATTAAATAAAATATATTAGCCAATAATAATTCTTGAAATAATTCAGATCATTGCAAATTATAGCTTTGATCATCATGTTGGAAAAAAGATTCTGTATTCCAATTTTAGACTTTCACCTGATATTCAAGACTACAAGTCGTAGTCTACGACACAAAACTACCATCTTTTTCAGATGCACAGAAAAAAGATCTACTAAAACAGTACATACTTTTAAAACATTCATTAATTTAGTTGGTTCTGACTGCCATGACTTCTCTTGGAATTCAGCCTTGATAAATCAAACATATAATATGACATTGAAAATGGTCTAGAAATCTGCTTAACCAGCTGATAGAGCTCAATTTAAACAATTCACAGCATATTCAATGTTAAAATAACTGATTAAATTTTTTATCATCTTACAAAATGAAAGCCTTATTTGTGGTACCCCTGGTTATTTTATGGCCCCTGAAACCCCTCCCCCCTCAAGGCAACCATTAAGCATGTCACAAAAACTTAACTAGATTTTGAACAAGACAACCAATGGAGCTGTGTGTTCTCAAAAGAATAATTATAACAAATTATACTGGTACCTCTCTGACACAGCGATGGCCATGTCTTGTAAAAAATTTCTCTAAATTAGATTTAATTTCAGCATGGTTTTGTATGAGTTGGAAACACTCCTGAAAAATATATTTTAATTCATATTTTACTATGTTTCGAGACATGTAGCCTTAAAGGCGACTAACCAACGGACATAGGTGACGCCAGTATACCCTCCATATTTCAACGTGGGCATAAAAAACATATAGACTAGTCGTCATTTTAACATTAAAACGCAGATAATTCTGGACATAGATAGATTTGACTGTAAACTGTGAACACTATTACTGATTAGCTCAGCTAAAAAATTCCCATTTCTGAAACTAAAGTATGATTGGTAAAAAAAGAAAAGGAACACTCGTCACTTTAACTCAGGTCAACTGCTGTTGAAGCATATATATTCAAGACTAAAATCAACCCCCTAAAATGTCCATGTAAAGTCAGCAAAAATATTTGAATATTTCATACATATACTACACACTAACTTGATCAGAAGACTGTAGAAATTCTTCTCTACATCCTGAATCAGCTATAATTTTAGATAAATTTTGCATAGCATTAGGTACTTCAGCAGAGTAAACATCTATACATTGTGTTAATAGTAATGATAAATCACCATAATGTTCCTGAGTCCAAACTGAAATATAAGAATTTTACCAAATATTTTTTTGATCTTTCCCGGATTATCAGTACCCATTTACAGCTGGATCGACTGGAATTATGAGCAAAGATGACTTATTCAAGGTTTTTCACTTTCACACGCCAACTGAGATAAGAACCCACAGCCACCATTTGGTTGATGTGACCAAGCAAATGACGTCATGTAAAGAACCCATGCTCTAACCAACTGTGTTACAATGTGTTTCTAATACATCATGAGCTCTTCAGGGTTAAGAGTCACTTTTAACACTTCAGCATAAAGCCAGCTGATGGACATTAGTCATTTAGATCAATACTCTAATTAACACTTTAGTTACATTTGTTTTTTTTTAGATCATTAGATCTATTAATTTTGTCAAGGAAGGGATATGTTAATATGGGATGTTTTATTTTTTAGAGGTGGTAAAAGTCATACCATAGTCAAAAAGATTCCAATTGATACAATGTTAATGCCTGTTAAAGAGAAAGTAGTGATTTTAGTCCATTTGGTACTAAAATGACAAAATATACTTACCTTTACTGTTTTTTGTTAAAATGGACATGAGGACGTTGGCCCAAGATGAAGATCTAGAAGCATTAATTATAGTTGTGGCATACACCTAAAATATTAAAGTTTACAGCCTACAGCAGGCCTGTGCAACCTACCGCCCACAGGCCAACTGCGTCCTGCGAGATGATTTCGTGTGGCCTGCGACGTCATGTAAAATTTGAGGGAAATGCGGCCCGCAACCAAATGCCTTGTTTGCTCTTGTCACTGTCGGTGTGGCCTGCCTATTCTGATATCGAAACCCATTATATCTGCGCTGTTACAGTATGACGTCAAAATGAATCACGGCCTACTCGCATCCCTCAAATGTGGTCCGCCCTTGCAGAAAGCTTGCACAGGCCTGGCCTACAGCAGACTGAGCAGTTCTGAGCAGTTTAATGTCCCATCTAAACAATAGAACCTTTTAACATTTCAGTTGCAACACTGGGTAATCTGAAGGTATCAACCCTGCACCTCTAGGCACAGCAAGTTAACCAATTACTTGAAGATCAAACCTGATCAATCCAGATCAACTCTGGACCTTTAAGGCTAGCCTGCAAGTGTCAAAAAATCACTGAGTCACCCTATTTCAAATATAAAAAGATAAATGTAACATCTACATTAATCTTTAATATAAGTATCAACAGAAAGTGATACATTCTCCAGAAAATGAACAGTGTATCTCAATTTAGAGAAATTTTTTGAGGAATAAAAATAAGAAAGTAAACAATACCTGATAATATAGAGGTAGATGATTGGTTATGTCTTTATATAAACTATCATGATCATGATCAAGATTTATTTTAAACTTTGGTAAAAATTCTTCATATTCTTTAGTTTTAATTCCACTTTGTCTCGCAGCCTGTTAAATTTAGACATTGTACAGTAAACTTAGTTTTTAAACAACTCTCTTTTCAAAAAACAACTCTTATCCATATAAAAAAAAATTTGCTCAAGATCTCACCAACATACATTTGTATTAAAAATGTCATTAAAATTTGACCAAATTTGTAGCTTCTATCACAATCAAAAGAAATTTTTCTATATATTTTGGCAAGGGGAATAACTCAAAAGTTGTTTGTTATAATGAAGACAATGACGCTAGTTCCATAAGATTATATAGTTGGCTTATGTTTTCTAGATTTGGCAAAAAATTCGCAGGAAAAATATACAATTTGATTTGATTCGCAGATTGTCATGATCAATCTTAATTTTGGCTAATCAAAATGTTGGCTCCCAAATTAATTGCATTTTGTATCAAGAAATTTTTTCAGTATTTTACTCAATACTCACCCAAATCATCTTTAAAAAGTTCCAAAATTTTCTGAAAGTTCCAACAACGCTTTGACCATAATATTGGTGTAGATTCTCTTCTTTAATACATGAAAGAACTTCACCTAGTAATGCTAATTCTACCATATCTTTCTGAGTACCAGCTACACTTACAATAATACTTTCTACAAACTGAAATATAGTCACAACCTTTCTACATACTGAAATACAGTCATAACACTTTCTACATACTGAAATATAGTCATACTGAAATTAGTCATAACACTTTCTACAAACTGAAATATAGTCATAACAATTTACACAAACTGAAATATAGCCATAACACTTTCTACATACTGAAATACAGTCATAACACTTTCTACAAACTTAAATATAGTCATGACACTTTCTACATACTGAAATATAGTCATAACATTTTCTACAAACTGAAATATAGTCATGACACTTTCTACATACTGAAATATAGTCACAACACTTTCTACATACTGAAATACAGTCATAACACTTTCTACACTTTCTACATACTGAAATACAGTCATAACACTTTCTACATACTGAAATAAAGTCATAACACTTTCTAATACTGAAATACAGTCATAACACTCTCTACATACTGAAATACAGTCATAACACTTTCTACATACTGAAATATAGTCATAACACTTTCTAACACTGAAATATAGTCATAACACTTTCTACATACTGAAATATAGTCACAACACTTTCTACATACTGAAATAAAGTCATAACACTTTCTAATACTGAAATACAGTCATAACACTCTCTACATACTGAAATACAGTCATAACACTTTCTACATACTGAAATATAGTCATAACACTTTCTAACACTGAAATATAGTCATAACACTTTCTACATACTGAAATACAGTCATAACACTTTCTACATACTGAAATATAGTCATAACACTTTCTTCAAACTGAAATATAGTCATAACACTTTCTACATACTGAAATATAGTCATAACACTTTCTACATATTGAAATATAGTCATAACACTTTCTACATACTGAAATATAGTCACAACACTTTCTACATACTGAAATATAGTCACAACACTTTCTACATACTGAAATATAGTCACAACACTTTCTACATACTGAAATATAGTCATAACACTTTCTACATCCTGAAATATAGTCATAACACTTTCTACATACTGAAATATGGTCATAACACTTTCTACATACTGAAATATAGTCATAACACTTTCTACATACTGAAATATAGTCATATGAAATAAAGACAATACTCACAAATAATGATATAAAAAGATGGTTACAATAGGATTTCAAGCCTACCGGAGCTTTACTAATATTTCTTTTACCACTGTAGTCATACATAAAACTCTACAATACAATAACATAAAATATTTCAAATAATATAAAAATTATATC